GGCATTCTGGGACAGAGGTGGAAAAAAAGAATTGGAAGACTAGACTCCTGTGAGATCCTAAAGTAGATAGAAACGACATAGGATTTTCAATCCTGTTTGCTCAAATAAGCTTGAAACGATGATTGAAACACATGTCTATCTTTGATGAAAGGAACTGTATGAGTTGGAGATTACTTTGGCTATAATGAACCAGAAATGTGACCATAGTAATTTAATCAAATGTCTTTGATTAAGCACACGTATCAGCAGATCCACCATGTCACCAATGAGCTGAATTCCTTCTGTTATTCTGTTCTTCACTATGAAGAACATGTGGCTTTCATTCTCATGGTCACCTTGTTGGTGCAAAATGGCTGTCATTTTGCCTTCCAAGAAGAAAGAGGACACAAGAATTGATAAGAAGGACAGGAAAGGGCAAAGTATTGTCCCCTATAGCAAGCTCCCAAGAACTACCACCCAGGACTTCCATTCTTATCTCAGTGGACAGATCTATCTCATGAGCATTCCTAGTGAAGCAAAACAAAACAAACAAACAAATAAAAAACTCTGGGAAGCTGAGCATCTTAAAAAGGGTACACTGACTTCAGCAAAATCTGAGTTCAGGAGTTTGAAGTTGGACAGGAAATTAGCAGTCTGACCCAGGAGGAGACATCTGAAACCTAAAACCAACGTCTGAAGATGGAGGGTAAATGGGGCATTGGAAAATGACACAGCAGGGAAAAGAAAGGTCAAATTTAAGTATTTGGGAAGGGTAGGAGTAGCAAGTCTATTTCAACCCAGAAGGTTCAGGAACAAGGCATCAGGTGCAAGGGAAGAAAGCAGACTACAGATAAAGGCCTTGTTTGAAAGTGCAGAGAGAGCAGTCAGGTGACTGTTCCATCCTGCACAGAAGACTGTTGGGTTTATTACTTAGAGAACAGAGAGACTGCAGGGACAGCAGAGTCAGGAAGGCCTGTTCTGAACACAAGGGAATAAGTGAAGGTCTGCATATTGGCTGGTAAGACTTCTTCCCAGCTCCCTTCCCCAATGCAACACCAAAATGACACAGGCTTACCTCGCAGGAAGACTGGAAGAAAGTTCTCTGAAGAAACTTAATGCCCTCTACAGGATACTACAATATAAGGAAAGAGGATAAGAACAAGGAAGAACTTTGACAACTTGAAAAGTGACAATTGAAATATTTTTTTTAAAAAAGTCAGTAGAATAAACGAGAAAATAAAGTTAAGAGGAACTCTTAGAGGAAGATTATCTAAATAATAGAAGTTCCACTAAGAACAGAACAGAATGAAAAAATAATTTGCCCACCAAATCTTAATTCAGTAGAATCTTCCAGCCAATAACCACCTTCTGTAACACACACATGCATGTACTTCTGATATATGTTTTTAGTCCTTCATGCTTCAACATGATCTCTGGTAGTTGGTATGATTCCAATATGGCAGAGACCACAATACAAACATATAAATTTAGAAGAAAGTAGAGATAATACAGCATGCTAAACAAATACCCTATGATAAGAAAAGAAATTGAATTCAAGGAACGAGCATAGGATGCTTTAATATAAGGAATAAAATGAGAACAAGAACTTTTGAAAAAAAACCCAACAACTAAATAATAAAATAATAGATGGTCCATTAAGAACAGAAAATGGGGAAGAAAACCATCAAAGACAACACAAGAAAGCATTTCCCAGAACTGAAGGATACAAATCTCTAGAATGAAAAGGCCGCTCTCTACCATGAAATTTCAGAATAAGGCTAAAAATAAAGAGATCTAAAACATTTCAGAGAAAATTACAGGTGACATACAAAGGAATTGGACTAGGAATGGACTCCTCATAAAAACACTAGAAGGCAGAGGAAAATGGGACCAAGGTCTTTCCAATTCTGAGAAAAAAAATTATTTTCGACCAAGAATCCTATACGTCTTTCTTTGAAAAGCAACCACTAACACGAAGTAGTTAACACAGATAAAAGAAGACACGGAATCCAGGAAAGAGGCCCAAACATGGTGGAGAGGTGGGGGCTGCCACAGGGAGGGCTGCCACGAGCCCGAGTTGGAGCAGGAGACAGGATTCTCGAAGGGTTTTGTCTCAGAAGATAAGTGGAACCAGTGAATTGTCTGTCAGATTTGACATTTAGATCATAATTATGTGAGGGGACAGCTGAAGGTGTAAACTAATCTCACTGTGATCATTATTTTGCAATCTGTATGCGTATCAAAATCCCTACATTGTACTCCTCAAAGTTACATACATTAAGTGTCAATAGTATCTCAGTAAAGCTGGAAAAATTTTGACTTTTGGGAAAACTGAAGTGAAAGGAAAAAAACAGAGCTGGCCAGATACTCAAAGAAAACATTTTAAAAGAGATAAAACTCCAATAAACAATTAAAATAATTGTACGAGAAGAAAATGTAATTATAGAAGACTATTTAGTCTATTAGAACAATAGCATTTATGAACACAGAAACACCTAATACGGATTTACCAAAAAGTTGAGGTACGGGAAGGATGGAGGGAGAAGATGAAGGAAGAGGGACTAATCTTCATCTTTTGAGACAGGAAGTCAATAGAAGGGTTCTAAAAGTGATGAACAAAGAGGGGGCAGAGTTCTTAGAGACAGGAACAGGGGCTACCAGTGGCTGCCTGGGGGCGTGGGAGCAGGCGAGGGTCAAAGGGACAAGAGGCTGGTTTCCTTATAACCCTTTTATTACTGTTTGCCTTTTTTTTGTTTGTTTTTAAGGTAGAATTGAGTAAGACCATTCAGAATGGGAAGTGAGAGCTTTCTCCTCAAAGTGTGCTTCTCAGCACCAGCCGGGAGCTTGTTAGATGCAGTATCTCGGTACCCAGCGCAGATCTACAGAGTAAGTCTGTCTTTCATGCCTCGTCCCAGAGACTCACAGGCCTGCAGTCTGACAAGCACTGGTCTACCCGTCATGGTGCAGGGCCTGAAGCGAGACATGGGGGCCCCTCGCCGTAACAAGGGGGAAGTGAGGCAAAGGAACTCATTGGGCACACGAGTCATCAGAGAGTGCGTGTGAACTCAGTTCACCACTCTAGGTCCTTGACCTTTTCCACTGCCTCTGCCTCCCTAACCTGTTAGGTGCCCCAATTTTACACATTTTGGAACCAGTTTTGTTTGGGGTACCTAGTTTACTTCACAAAATTGGTCTTTACAGAGCTAGTTATGTGATAGTTGCCACTGTGCTCTGTCACTGTTCTAAAATTGTTCCTGCATATTTGATTACCAAGATCATCTAACTCTAAATAGACTAGAATCTTGATAAAAGCTTGGCAACTTAGCTCCTTCAAGTCCTCAAGTTAAACACCAGAATAGAACAGATGGATACAACAGTGAATACAACAGTCTCTGCACTCCAGGGAAGAACAAAACAAAAGGAACTACAGACTTGAAGAGCTTTGATGGGATAAGCCTAGTTCTACAAGCTCTTAGAGGCCCCTCCCCTATTGTTTCCACTGCAACCAAGGACTAAGCTGTTAGTTACAAGGAGGATTCTTTCCGGCACCTGGGTGGCTCAGTCAGTTGTGTCCAACTTCAGCCCAGGTCATGATCTCACAGTTTGTGGAGTTTGAGCCCCGCATCGGGCTCTGTGCTGGCAGCTCAGAGCCTGGAACCTGCTTCAGATTCTGTGTCTCCCTCCCTCTCCCCCACTTGCACCCTGTCTCTTTCTCAAAAATAAATAAGCATTGAAAAATTTTACAAAGAGGATTCTCTGATTCCTGGTCCTGTCAACCTGTCTTTATTATATATACTTTTATATCTTAAGTTCTGGAAAGTTTATAAAGCTGCTTTAAACATTTCAAGATTACTAACACCTAACCCATTTGTTGCTTTGTGTAAAATAAGTACTGAAAAAAACCTGGTTAAACCATAGTTGATTTTGGGACAATGTATTATGGAAACCATTTTAAATGATTCTGTAATATGGATTTTTTTCAAACTGAAGAAAAATCAAAATAAGAGACTATGAATTGTAAAGAAATAAAAATCAAATGAATCAAATTTTGGTGTCATGATTTAGGAATGCAGAGTTCTGGTTCAAATATACAATTAGTTTTCTTCAAGATACATATAAAAGCTCATCACAAACCTGTCAAAGGTGAAATCTTAAGACATTTATAAGCCAGACTTAATTATAAAGTTTCAAATCAAAAATCCCTCTGCTTAAAGGTCTTATCTCCTTTATTAAAGTGAGGATATAATCTATGCAAAGTGGCTGTGCTCAAAGAGACTCTGCTATGGGCGCCTGGGTGGCTCAGTCAGTTAAGCGTCCGACTTCGGCTCAGGTCATGATCTCACGGTCCGTGGGTTTGAGCCCCATGTCAGGCTCTGTGCTGACAACTCAGAGCCTGGAGCCTGTTTCAGATTCTGTGTCTCCCTCCTTCTCTCTCTCTCTCTGCCCCTCCCTAGCTCATGCTCTGTCTCAAAAATAAACAAGCGTTTAAAAAAAATTAAAAAAAAAAAAAAGAGACTCTGCTAAACAAGCTGTTGGGGTTATTAGAGTATGAACAGGCTGTTGCCTTTTTACGATGACTGTATTAAGAGGAATCAATATGCTGTATACCCACATAAAGAATCCTTATTCTGTGCTGCTCTCCCAATCACTAGTCACTCGCAGCAAATTCAGAACTTCTTTGTGAGAGGACAGGGGATTTGTGTAACCAGGGATGCTATGGCCCTGGGCAGTCTGCAGGCCACATGTCTTTCTTTAGAAACTCATCATCATAAAATTTGTGCAAATCTACTTTATATTAAAGCAAGGGTTGGTTTTAATTGTCTACATCCAAAAAGAAGTGACACTCCTAAAAGATGCCGCCCTCTGCCAGAGAAGGCACCTAGCTCATCGCCCAGTTTAAGAACAGCCCAACTGACACCGTATTAGAAAACATTAAAGATAAATACTGAATCATACAATTTGTTCCAAGTAGGCATATGTGTACGTGAAGGACAAAGCATTGAAACTTGGGTGAATTAAAGTTTTTATTTTTACAACACAATCCATTTCTAGTCTTTCTTTTAATCAAATTTGAAAATTTTTATTTTTCAAGCGCATTAAATTTATAAAAACCTCCTCCCACATTAAAGCATTCCTCATGTTTTATTTCCAGTACTCCAGTGTTCATTTAACAAGTAAAATCACTTTAATGTCATCTCCTTTAATGACCTCCTCCAAATACCATTGTCTAACACCTGTCGTGGTCAAAAAATAGGTTGATCCTGTAGTCACCTACGCAGACTCTGCTAAACTATTCCAAATTCAGTATGAATCGATGTTTTCTAGAGTATAAAATTAATGGTATGGAAACCCTGCCCATCCGTCCTGCTGAGAAAATCCGGGTAAACTCTTCATCAGAACTCCTCCTCTGCCTGCTTGCTGCGTGACTGCTTGAGCTGCTGCAACCGCTCAATGGTCTCAGAAATTGTACGCTCTCCATGCACCTTATTATCTCTTGTACGGATATTAACAGTGCCACTGGCTTTCTCTTTTTCACCAATAACTAAAACAAAAGCACAAAGCTTTGTCAGATGGAAAGGTTTTTACTGAACATTCGAACAGAAATGATCCTAGGACCCAAAAGCCCCCATGCAGCTTTTGATTCATTAAAATGCTCAAATGAGCTATCAAGCTCAAGATAGATAGGAATCTTACTTAAATGCATATTACTTGCTGAAAGAAGCCAATGTAAAACAACTATATAACTGTATGATTCCAACTATATGAGATTCTGAAAAAGGTAAAACTATGGAAAAGGTAAAAAAAAAAAAATCAGTGGTTGCCTATGGTTAGGAAAGAGAGTGTTTAATACGTGGAGCACAGAAGATTTGGAGGCAGTAAAACAATTCAGTATGATGCCACAATGGTGGATACATGTCATTATTTATTTGTCCAAATGCACAGAATGTACAAAACTAACAGTGAACAAACTGTGGCCTTTGTAAAAAAGACAGCAGTCTGGTGCAAGATGCTGGTAGTAGGGTGGGTGTTGGGGGTGCTGTGTCTGTTTTGGGCAAGAGGTATATGGGAGAGCTCTGTACTTTCTGCTCAATCTTGCTTTGAACTTAAAGTGCTCTAAAAAAAAAGTCTATTTAAGAAAAAAATAAAACATTCAGGTGACCATGTATAGTTGGATGACCAATTTAAAAATCTTTTCATTAAAAAAAAGTATCACTTTGCAATGCTTCAAACCACTGTATTCAGTCACTTAAACCAGCCAATTTAATAAAAACTTACTATATGAAGGAATAGGAGATAAAGGAAAGAAAGTTTTTAAACAAACCTTTAAAGATTATTCCTTTTCACACCAAAATTTCCCTTTATTATAACAACTGAAACAACTTCATAGTTTAAGCGTCTAGAGTGAACTAAACTGATGACCACAATTCTCTTAAGGTTGAGTCTCAAGATTTCAGTGTTCTCTGATAATTTGGCAGATTTTCTTAGGTAAGTTTCCTTTCTTACCTAGGATGAAGTTATATTGTGCCAACTGTGCATTTCTGATCTTCTTATTTAATGTACAGCCCGGATCCAGATCAATGTCTACCATGAATTTAGCATCATGAAATTGTTGCCGTACCTATTGAAACAGATATGGAATTCTTCAGATCTAAAGAACTGTATTTTGATCTTAAATGATTTAACCTATGATTTGGATAATCATACAAATATTTAAAAAAGAATGCTAATAGATATACTGAAGTTAATTCGTGACTTGGGACTACATTTTCAAAAATTAAATTGACATATTTTGCTCTTGAGAGATAAATGTTTTAGAAAATCCTTAAAAATCAGAATTCAGGCAATCAACTGAATTTAATTAGCTCTGTTCAAACACATTACAAAAGAAAAAAAACTTTTGCAAACATGTCTTGTTTCCTACCTAGTTGTCAGGAAACAATTATTAATCAGTCTCCATATTAATATACAATGATAGATGTCCAGTCTAATATGAGAATGTAATATTTCTGGTCCCTCAAAGAGGCAGTAGTTGGTAGCAGGAATCCAGCCACTGCCATCATTTGCATATGCCACATTTTTAAATAAAATGTTGACAGCATAAACAACAGGCTAAAAGCATCTTAACTACTTTTATGTTTTTAGAGAATGGAATAAAAGCCATCACATAAAATTGTCTTTTGGCACTAATTATTTCTTTCTTTCTTTCTTTTTTTTTTTTACAAATAGTTTATTGTCAAGTTGGTTTCCATATAACACCCAGTGCTCATCCCCACAAGTGCCCTCCCCCATGCCCACCACCCCCTTCCCCTCCCCCCCACCCTCATCAGTCCTCAGTATGTTTCTCAGCATTCAAGAGTCTCTCATGGTTTGCCTCTCTCCCTTTCCCCCACCATTTCCCCCCTTCTTCTCCCCCATGGTCCTCCGTTAAGTTCCTCCTACTCCTCCTAAACGTGACACTAATTATTTCTTTAATATCTTTGTGTATATGACCTAAGTAAACAGAACTCTACAAGAATAATTTAAATATCAATTTTGAGAAATATTAAAAAGTAATTTTTTCTTTCTAAACAGTGATTTTCTTTTTGATTAAAAGGAAGCTATTAAATAAAGGAGTCAGAGGCAAAGATCAAATTGGGATTTCTTGAAATAAACTTCCAGGAATCTAGCAAGCTACATTACAGATTATCATTCTGTGCCTTTTTATCTTCCTCAGAAATACCAGTTCCACTGTACCATCTTAAGTTTTTGCATATTAAATAGTAAACAATGTTTTCAATATTTTTCCTTTCCAAAAAAAAGCAACACTATATTAAATTTTATTAACTTTAAGTTAAATTAAACCAGATTAAAATTCTCATCTACCTGATAAACAATCAGCACTAATATGACAAAAAGATCTGAATAAACCATTTATATTTCACTAATAGGTTGTTATGTGTAAGTGATCATTAATTAGTGAACCTGCTGGGATTGTGTAAGTACACAAATTCCAGAAGGGTTCTTGCAGTTTATCAGAGTGCCAGAAGAAAACTACACTTTCGACTGTAACATGTTTTAAAGAATAAAGCACAAGTGTTTTAGTTTTTTTGCAGGGCTTGAACTCATGACCGTAAGATCAAGACTTGAGCTGAGATAAAGAGTCAGATGCTGAACCAACTGAGCCACCCAGGTGGCCCAAAGCACTGGTGTTTTAGTTTCTTAACACGGGCCCTTGCGTGTACGTGAGTTGGGCTATTCTATAACTGGGGAAGTGGCCTGATAATCTCAGACTGTTTAGCATCTCTGGTCTCCAGTCATTCAGTATCAGTAGTAGTGCTTCCCAACCCTTGTCAACTCAATATAACCAAAAACTCCACCCCATATAATTCTAAACGCTTCCCACCACCACTGATGGAACAGAGTCTGTATTGTCTCCAGTTGAGAAATGAGTTATTTAGTTACAGACCTTTCTCCTACCATGTGAACTTTCACAATGCAAATAAGATAAAGTACAATCAGTTAACTATGCAACATAACTGATTTTCATCATTTGTAACTAAAACTACTGTGTGCAGTAACAGAAATATAGTATGTCTGAATGGTTTGCTTTTCAGCTGATCTATTGTTCATTTATATTTTTAAAGACAGTGAAGACCTGAGTGCAATTTATTCTGAAGATCTGGAAACATGATGGTATTAATATTACAATATTGTTCACTGATATTCAGATTTGTCTGTATTAATTTATTACTTTAGCTTGCAATTACAAAACAATGCTTATTTATAACACAACTTTTACTGCTTTGAAATTTCTTAGTATAAAATTGTCCCTATAACTGAACAAAGTGTTGTATTTTTTCTTAATGTTTTATTTATTTTTGAGAAAGAGAGACAGAGACAGCATGAACAGGAGAGGGTCAGAGAAAGAGGGAGATACAGAATCTGAAGACAGGCTCCAGGCTCTGAGCTGTCAGCACAGAGCCCGACGCGGGGCTTGAACCCACGAACTGTGAGATCAAGACCTGAGCCAAGGCTCAATGCTCAACCGAATAAGCCACCCAGGCGCCCCTAAACAAAGTGTTGTTAAGATATGAAGTATGAATGGATAGTTATACATCTGTTAGTAAGGTAGTTTCTTGGTGGCTAGGGCACAACATTGGTCTGGCATGCCATTAACTTTAAAAAAATTTACAAATAACTGAAGAAATATGCATTAAAAATTGGGGCACCTGGGTGGCTCAGTTGGTTAAGCATGAGTCTTGATTTCAGCTCAAGTCATGATCTCAGGGTTCATGAGTTCAAGCTCTGCCATCAGGCTCTGAGCTGCCAGTGCAGAGCCTCCTTGGGATTCTCCCTCTCCCCCTCTCTCTGACCATCTCCCACTTGCACACATGCATGCATGTGTGCTCTCTCTCAAAATAAATAAATAAGCTTAAAAAAAAAAGGAAGTGAAGCAAAATTACTCTTTGAGTCAAAGAGCAGCTTAAAATGCATTATGCATCTGAATGTACACATCATCCTGAGGCATTTACTATTTCCTAATACTGAACACTAAAAAAACAAGAATATATAAAACACTATCTAAATTACATTTTCTGATCATGAAACCACGTAGGAAAGTATTAAAGAGGTAACGTAATCTATTCAGGCTTATCACAGATTGAAAACAGTAACATTTCTCTATACCACAAGCAGGTTGGTCTACCAAGGATATGCAGCTGAATGACAGATAGGAAATTAAAGATAAGTCGTATTAAAGGATTACCTTTTGGGCATATTCATCACATGTTGGTCCCACTGGAATAACCATTACTTGGCGAGGAGACAGCCAGAAGGGCCTTTAGAAGAAATTAAAAATATTTAATGTGAATTGGGTCCCTTTCATAAACAACAATGGCACATTTCTTAGTCTACTTTTTAATATCTTTTCCTGAAATACGTAAAGGCCACTTAAAAAAAAACTACCCTCTTCCTCCTCTGCAATATGCAGTAAATACTAAACAGAAGAGATTCAGGAGCAGAAAAGTAACCTTAAATCAGGAAAATTCGTAACTAAGGTTTGATTTGCTAAGCAGATGGCAAAGCACATTGGGGGAAGGGACTATGCCTCACACTTCATCGTATCAGGTAATAGAGCGCCATGCACCTGCTGCCAGAGGGGTTAACAAAGAATTATTTAGTGATTTATTGTTTGACATTATTTTATTGATTATTCTTCATGGAATACATGGATCAGACCATGCCTTCACTTATTCAAGATCTATTCTGCAGGATTTAGCAAACTGTAACTGATAATAACTGGTGATGGTATTTGACAAAAATGACTGTTTTCACATCTATTTTTTGAAAGGCAGACTGCCACCTGTAATGCCTTGTTTGACGTGTCTTAGAAGCCTGGGCACCCTATGTTCTCCCAGGTTTTCACTTCTTATTAAAAACTGACCATTTGTAATTCTACCTTTGGAGTATTTCAGGTGTCAAATCCTCCCCATGCTGTAGACCTCAGACTAAGTGTTTCTCTTAATCACTCCTCTACTTGCAGCTGCTTTATTTCAACAGGGAAATGGCTAGAATCCCACCTCTCACAGGCTTGATGGAGCCATCAGCTGAGGACCGCCCTATTCTCTAGAAACCATGTAGGGTTTCCTATATTTGATCGAATTTTGTGAAACAGAACTGAAAACAGACGATCTCCTTTCACTTACAAGTATGACAAACTCCCCTTGATGTCTGAACCAAATTACAAATAAAACTGAAATGACTACAGTATGTAAGATAAAACAGGTTTACATTTTATAAAAGTTTTGCATCAGTACAACTAATAGGGCACACTCTACAGAAGGGTCTTGACAACCCTGTGCTGCTTTCAACCGCCTTCACACACTGTGGGCCCAGAGAAAATTGCTTAAAAACAAAATGAAAGCGTGCACTCAGATCTCACCAGCAAAAGCATAACCTCACAGAAACAAGACAAAAATTGTTGATCAGTTTGCAGTCCTTCCAATTAAAAAACAAGTGGCTTCTTAAGGATGTCAAAATACATGTTTACTATGATCAGCAACACTGAGTGACTTAAGCCCAAAGCCTACTCTTGTTCACTCAGACAAAGGAACCAAACCATATTAATCCTCAAAGATACTGGAGAAGCAATCAAAACAACAAATGTGCTTCTCAGTGTATAATAACTCCTAATTAGAAAGTATTCTGTAACATTCCAACAAATCAAGTTGTGAATTAAAAATAATTACAACTAATAATTATTCTTAAAGGGGGCACCTGGGTGGCTCAATTGGTTAAGCATACGGCTTTGGCTGAGGTCATGATCCCACAGTTCGTGAGATCAAGCCCTGCATTGGGCTATGTGCTGACAGCTCAGAGCCTGGGGCCTGCTTCAGATTCTGTGACTCCCTCTCTCTCTCTGCCCCTCCCCTGCTCTTGTTGTCTCTCTCTCTCTCTCTCAAAAATAAATAAACATTAAGAAAATGAAAAAATATATTCTTAAAAATAAAAATTTGGGTTTAGATTGTGATTCCTTAGTGTACACCTGTCATTAATTAGAAGTCACCAATCAGAATCATTCTCTTCCACTGCATCACTAAACTGGACAGGAGACATTTCTTAGTCAATTTACATTCTCCAGACAAAAACAAGGACAAAAATTACCATTTGCCGCCAAAGTTTTCAGTGAGAATAGCAATCATTCTTTCCACTGACCCCAAGATGGCTCTATGGACAATCACTGGCCTTTTCTTATCATCACCATCATGGCTAGGTAGGAAAAAAAATATGTTTTACTTTATATATATTCCTTTATATTCCCCTAAAAATAAATATTCAGAGCAGACACCAGAAACTCACCTTACAAAAGTAAGATTAAATCTGATGGGCAACTGAAAATCCAACTGGATTGTTGCACACTGGTGGTACCGACCAATTGCATCTTTAATCTGTATATCAATCTGAGAAGTAGACTCTGGGTTATTTTAAGATGCTGTTGACATTAAAGCTGAACTCAGCAGTTGTAACAGGGCTGGCTCTCTTTTCCTTCCTTCCTTCCTCCCTCCCTTCCTTTCTTTCTTTTTCTCTTCCTTTCATTTCTTTCCTTCCTCCCTCCCTCCTTTGTTTCTTATTTTAAAGTAATCTCTTCTTCACTCCAAAATAAAAATCATATTACTCAAATAGACTTTTCATACTGACCTTTGGGCCATAAAAAGCTCCATCTCCAGGATTTAACTCCCACTTTTCACCAAATTCATTCAGACTGTTTTCAAGTTGCTAAGGGCAAAGCAAAATCATTTTTATTTTTGTTCATCTGCAACTTCCCTTCTTCCAGCCTAATCTGAGACTAAAAATACTGTAATTACTTTCACGAATCCCTATTCTCTGCTTTAGAAATCTGTCCACCTAAAATACACACAAATCCCCTTTTCTGAGAAATATTGACACACATCACTGTATAAGTTTAAGAAGTATAGCATGATGGTTTGATTTACATAGACTGCAAAATGATTTCCATATTAGATTTAGCAAACAACTATCATCTCATACAGATACAATTAAAAAAAGAAAAAAGAAAAAACTCTTCTCCCTGTGATGAGAACTCTAGGATTTACTCTCTTAACAACCTTCCTGTATATCATACAGCAGTGTTAGCTACAGGCGCCACCATGTGTATTATATCCCTAGTACCTGCTTATCTTATAGCAGGAAGTTTTCATCTTTTGACTACCTTCCCCCATAAGTTACAGCTTGATGACTGAAAAAATATTCAACCATTTCTAATATAAAATCATACATTAAAAAAACTAGTTTACTCTACCTATGAACCATTTCAAATTTCTCCTTTGCTTTTTATCCATTTAAAGAGGCTTGGGTTTCCTGGAACAAGTTCATTTCAGTCAAATAGCATTCAGGCATGCTGAAAAACACACTTACTTTCTCAGCTTGGTTCCATACTTCGATATCTCCAAGGAACTTTTCTGGGCGAGTAGACAGGTTCAGTTTAAAAGAAAATCCAAATATGCTATATACTGTACGCAGAAAATCCAAACAGCCTTTTATTTCATCCTCAATCTTAAAACAAAACAAAAACAGACAGTGGTCATTTTCCTTGACTTTCTTCACGATTCTTTTAGAGTATCTCACCCCAGAGCCTCAGCATACCTGCTCTATGGCACAGAATATGTGGGCATCATCCTGCTGGAATCTCCGTACCCTCGTGAGTCCCGTGAGTGCTCCCGACAACTCATTCCTGTGAAGCACCCCGAAATCGGCTACCCGGAGAGGCAACTCTCGCCAGGACCTTGGCCGATGATCAAACATAAGGCTGAAGAAAACAGAAAATTAAAACCCACTGATATTTAATTTCACAAGAACAAAACTGCTTTTCTAATATACAAAAGGCTGTCCATGCAGGCAACATTTCTTAAATTCTGGACTTCACACCACAATGTAAGCACTGCATGAATAAAACAGCAAATAAATTATAATATGACCATCCACAGCCAAGAATAAAAATTTATTCTCATGAGTCTGGAGTCACATCCTTATGCTAAACATTTCCATTCATTTGAGAACTGCCTTTAATGCTCATAAAAAAAAAAAAAAAAAAAAAGACTTAGCTCCATACAAATCATTTAACATACTGAAAGCTAAAGACCGTGCTTTCTCATCAGTCCTGAAACTGCTTCAGCCTAAAGGTGCTTCAGCAGCGTTAGAGAATCTGGGAGAACTAAGAACAAACCCAGTTCCCTCATAGAGAGTCCACTCTCCCCTCACCCTCGAGGCCCTGCCGCCTACCTAGTCTTCCCCTGAGTCACCCACTCTTTACCTAGCTTTCAAGGGTAGAAAGTGAAACAGCGGCAAAGCAAGGAAGATTTCTCAGTTCATTAACAGTAGGTTTTAACAGAACATCTTTAAGGAAAAAAAAAAATCTAGAGAACTTGCTATTCTCTAGTCTCTCTTTTATATTCTTCTGTCTGTTCACTGCTATTACCCCTGTGCCATTCTCAAATGTCTGCATATCTGAGCATCTAACTGGGCATGGAGGAGATTATAACGTCACAGTAATGTTGTATTTAAATATTTTTCTGATTGCACAATTTGCTTTAAACAAAACTTCTTTCAAAGGAGAGAGCAATCCGACAAAAGCACCGTGGGAAAGTCTTTGATAGAAAGTCAAATCTGCTCAATACCAGTGTCCTGGGCAGTTCATGGGTTTCAGAGCAAACAGCTCCTTCTCCACCTCAAAGGAGAACATGTTCTCTCTATAGTGTTGCCAGTGGCCCGAGGTCACCCAGAGTCGGCTGTTGTAGATGTTTGGGGTCACCACTTCCTGAAACCCTCGTTTCCGATATTCACTCTGTTAGAAAACAGACACAATACACATGTAGGAAACAGAAGTTCATACTTTTGGTGGGACTAAAACTTAAAGAGCAATTTTATAGTATCTAGTGAAGTTCAGGATGCACATATGCTGTAATCTAGAAATTCCATTTGGACGTATATACCAAAGAAACTCCTGCACACGTTCATAAGGAGGCCTATCAAGACAGTGACTTGTAATATGAGAAAATTAGAACTTATATCAGTGTCCACCAATAAAGAAATGGGTAGAGTGTGGTGGTTTAGAGAATAGTAAGTAACAAGTGAAACTAAACTGGATTTAAAAAGTCCTAATGCTGACACAATGGGACTTCTCATACGTAAATGTGAACTACACAGACACAAATAATCTAAGGTACACGTGTATGGGGGGGTATTAAATATCATGGATCCACGCTAACTTCAAATAACAGTTTCTTCTTCTACGCAAGGAGGGAAATGATTCAGAAAGGGGTCCCAAAAGGGAGCTTTTTGCTTTACTCTGTATTCATTTACTTTAATAAAAAGTCTGAAGCAAATATAGCCCAATGTACATATGTGGTACCTTAGGTGGTGAGTATGCAGATGTTGGTGGTATTATCCTCTATAAACCTATGCTTGAAAGACTTCTTATTTTATAAAGGATTAAAAAACAGTGGAAAAATTAACTGGTGTTTGTTTGTTTGTTTGAGGAAAATACAAATGGTCAAAGAGCATTCCGAGCTCCCAGGTAAAGGGTTCCAGATCCCACCTCAAGTTCACCAGCCTCTCTGTTGTGAACATACTCATGTACATGGATGAAACAACGTATCAAGAAAAAGAAACTTCTTAAACATTCTGTGAAAACTCAGACTTGCGGTTTTATTCTTCTAAATGTTTCTTCTCAAATACCAGATTATCTTTCCTTTTAGCAGATCTTATTTAATAAAATCAACTTATATCCTAAATTTACAGAAGAAAATAGTGAATATGGTTTACCCTGATGAATTCAATAAGTGTATTATAAATGTATGCTCCTTTCGGCAGGAAAAAGCAACTTCCAGGGCTGAGTTCATGAAAGAAATATAGTTCTTGGTCCTGAGTAAAAGAAAAGCAAAAGAATGTTTATACATGCATATTAATGTCAACATAAACTCATGTGCTCCTAAATTCAGATTATGACCACGGTATCCTATATTTTAATGTAAGCCATTCTCGAATCAAAGCATGTCAACATTTCTGGTATATTCAAGAGGATAGAATTGCAGCTGATTTACAACTTAGCACAAGTACGTTTTCCGCCTGTTCTATTCCTAAATCCAGTCAAGTTTACCCAAGAAAGACATGAAGCAGGGGTCTTAGTTCTCTTATTATTCAGTGAAGCTCTCACAGTTTTAGTTTCTCAAAGCTCCAAGAAGTGACTATTATTTCCTTTTGGTTTTCAAAGTAGGAGTGGCAGGAAGAAGGCTAGAAAAAGGACAGTGATGTGAAGGAGAAGATGTAGATGAAGTTGGCTGACCCTGGGTCTTGGTGAAAGAAGCACACCCCCCTACCTTCTTGCCTCTCTCTTCCCCCCAAAATGCCCAGGATCCTTGGAGAGCCCCCTCACCAACTGTTGGTGCTTTCTTACTGCTGGGATTTATTTCCGACCATCAAGAGAGCAGATCAGCAGATGGCAAAGAGAACACAATTTTAGAAAGGCATATTTTAACCAAATATGAATCTCTAGTTCAGAGAATACTCAGGGGTAGACGAATAATGACACGGTAGTGTCCACTGGTGACTTGCTATGTCACCTTGGGAAACAAGTAGATTAATTTTAGGGGAAATCAGTTTTCATATATTTAAAATACGTCAGTGAGACCAGGAAACTTTGAAAGCATCTCCCAGCTGTATAAAACATCACTATATGGGCACCTGGGTGGCTCAGTCAGTTGAGCGTCTGACTTCGGCTCAGGTCATGATCTCGCAGTTTGTGGGTTCAAGCCCCACATCGAGCTTTGTGCTGACAGCTAGCTCAGAGCCTGGAGCCTGCTTCGGATTCTGTATCTCCCTCTCTCTCTGACCCTCCCCTGCTCACACTCTCTCTTTCAGAAATAAATAAAACATTAAAAAAAAAAAAAGTCACTATATTGCTTTTACAGAAAACTGTGGGTCATCAGCATTTGTTCTCAAAAAAAGGAAAACTTAAAATGACTGCGTGGCACCGAGCACACCCTAGGAAGATAATGTGGAGAGTAAACAATAAGATAACAGTAAGATAATTAGGAAGTAATTTATGGATTATATAGGACACAGTATAGTAACTACTGGAAAGCCACAGCGTCTTTTCCAAAGAAAATTCCTAGTACTTAAAACAGCTAAGTTTCAAATGAAAATAAAGAAAATTCGGTCTAGAAACGTTATTATTTGTTTTTAACATACCCTTCCAATTTTCCTATGATCTCGGTTTTTAGCTTCCTCTTGGAACTTCTCCCATTCTTTCAACATTTTAGGATCTGGGAATGAAATGCCATAAATTCTCTGGAGAGTCTCCATATCTGCTTTGCCTTCCCAGTATGTGGAGGAATTCTGAAAGCAAAGACAAATCATGAAACAATATTAAAATCTGTTAATATCTCACTTATTTTGAGTTAGATGTAATTTCTCATAGTCACCTAGGAGTCAAATTCATAACAGTCCTTATGACAAAAATAGTGGTATAAAAAGTGCACACATAGCAAATATCTCCCAGTTGCTCTGAGGCCGAGCTAGAGTACATGGCTGGCTGTTTAATTCCCTAAAAATACCTCCCTCTCAACTACCCATTCAAACCACAATTCCATGAGTGAAATGCAAGGACATCTCCCATAAGATGGTTAAACAAAAATGGAAAATATATCAACAAAAAAAATCTTGAAATGATTCCATTTTTCTTATGATTTAAAGTGCATTTGGGGGCGCCTGGGTGGCTCAGTCGGTTAAGCTTCCAACTTCAGCTCAGGTCATGATCTCACGGTTCGTGGGTTCGGCCCCATGTTGGGCTCTGTGCTGACAGCCAGCTCAGAGCCTGGAGTCTGCTTCAGATTCTGTGTTTCCCTCTCACTCTGATCCTCCCCTGTTCATACTGTCTCTCTCTCTCTCTCAAAAATAAATAATAAAATATTTTTTTTAAAAAAAGTGCATTTGAAAAATCACCCATAAAATATTTACTAACTGATAAAAACTGGCAGGACTAGTTTGGTTAAAAAGCACAAATAAAATAATTATTACTTTAGACAGATGAAGGGCAAAAGCACATACTAACAGTGAGTTTTAAAACTCGTAGAAGCATGACTGTGTGACTTCTGCAAACCCCCTAAAGCTCCATCCCCACGTGCTCTGCTGAAGAAGGGTGGGTCAGTCACTGTTGGACATTTTCAGCTAAAAAAGACTAGTGGCATGCAGCAGTAGACAGCATGAGAAAAAAATTCCACCCTTACATATGCAACAGAAAAACAGGCAGAAAGAGAAACCAATAGAAGGTTAAACATATACCTATTGTAGATAAATACATTATATAGAGAGTCTTTAAAGTTACAATGCTTACTTTGTGTATTTTCAAAGTCTTAATTTTGCCAGTGTGTCTGACGTGAGGACCGCGGCAGAGATCTATCAAGGGGCCACACCTAGAGATAAAATGAAAGCAATTTTAACAAATACTTAAAATGACATCTGTACCAGTTATACTTAATGACACTTGGTATCTCACCTATAGACTGTGGTAGTTGGAGTATTCACTTTTTCATTCAATATCCGGCATTTGAACTTGTTGTACTAAGAATAGGAAAAATTATTTTTAAAAAAATCCTCCTTTAATATTTACCTCTAAACACTACAGCTAAAACCTAACTTGAATTCATCTTATTGAAGCATTGTAGGAAAATAAATATGTCAATACTTCATGTTTTGCAAATATTGTTACATTTTTCTAAAAAACAGAACAGGCTTCAACTTATTACATTAAACCCCAGTGTGACAACTTAACGTAACATTAAAGAGTGATATAAAAGTGGAAGCCATATATTATAGCTCAATTTACCTTAAACATTTCTAGTAAAGTTTCTTTCTTAACTTCCAATCTTTCAAAAGCTTGTTTTTCTTTAATGATTTTCTTACATAAAGCCTCCAAAGAAGAGAAATCATTGCTGGACACACCCCTGAAGGAAAAAGAAGTATAATTAATCTTGTTCCACTCTATTCTACTCACATCATTAGGTTGGAGGAATGTTTCTTTAAAACAAAGTGAAGAGTTTTAATATACAAAAAGTAGACTCATATCATATACTAGAATCTTAAACTAGGTATTATTATCATTTTTATATTTTATATTTTCAGAGGCTTCTATCTTGGTCATCATGAAGACTATTCCCACAGTGAACCCTCCCTCCACTTCTATGACCAGCTTCATTTTATTTCCCAACATAGTTTAAGGCTATACCTCCATCAATCTACAACAGAGTTCTCATAAATTACCACCACTTCAAAAGTTACTATAAGATTTCAAGTTTTGATAGTGGAAATATCTGTTGACTATTAAGCAATAAGCTTGAATATCATTCCTTCCTTCTTGAGAACGCTTTAAAAATAATATATGGACCCTTAGTAATTCAGAATTTATCTTTCTTTATTCAGTTTAATAACTTACCCTTCTTCAAGGTACATGTCATAATAGAATCCATTTTCTATTGGTGGACCGTAACATAAACATCCACCATAGACTCTTTCCATGGCTTCACCCATTATGTGAGCGCTTGAATGCCAGTATACCTGAAAACGCAAAGAAAAATGGGATGATTGGAGTCTGAGCATGTATGTTGTAAATTAATGTGGCTGTCTTGAAAATGATATTTAAAATTTACTATAAATAAACTCAAGACACAAAAAAATCAAAATTTATGAATGTATAAACAGTGGTGAGATTCTATGCAGGACCAAAATAATTTAAAAGGATTCTAATTACTAAGTTGTATTTGTACCTTAGAAATCATCTGGTTTAGTTGTTTTCAAACTAATTAAATTCAAATTAGCATCATTAATTTAAATCGGATGGATTCTGTTACCTAAAAAAAATCACCACTCACAATGTCACTGTCTTATTGACCAGAATGGCCCAGGATCTTTTGAGTCAATGTGCCCATATCCCACATCCTATGTCCTATACCGTGGCCTTTACTGAGCTGTGGAACATCACTTAAGAATTACATTTTCTTTTTCTTTATTGGCTTCAAACAACTAAGGTGCTAGAGTTTGTCCCCACAACACAATTATAAAACACAAGAACAAATATATGGTGGCTAAAATCAGGTGGCAGTGCAGCTAACCCTTGAACAATGCAGGGGTTAGGGATGCTGACCTTCCATGTAGTCAAAAATCTTAGTATGATTCTTGACTCTCCAAAAAGCTAACTACTAACAGCCTACTGTTAACCAGAAGCTTTACTGATAACATAAAGTCAATTAACACATATTTTGTATGATGTATGTATCATATACTGTCTTCTTACAATAAAGCTAGAAAAAAAATGTTATTAAGAAAATCAAATGGAAAATACATTTATCAAAAAATACTCACAGATAATTATTTATAGAAAAACAATCTGTATATTAATAGGCTCATGCATTTCAAACCCATATTGTTCAAGGGTCACCTAAGGTGGTCAGATGAGTCCGAATATACCCAAAGATTTGTTTGTGAGGTACGGTACCAAAATAACTTTTTTAAAATAAAGTTTATTTATTTATTTTGAGACAGACAGAAAACATGAGTGAGGGAGGGGCCGAGAGAGAGGGAGAGACTGAGAATCCCAAGCATGCTTTACACTGTCAGCACAGAGCCTGACGTAGGGCTTGAACCCATGACTGTGAGATTATGACCTGTGATGAAGTCAGGCACTTAACTGACTGAGCCATCCAGGCGCCCTCCAAAAACATTTTCATAAAAACCTTAAGGACTTCAGAATACATCTAAAAACCACTGATACACACACACACACACACACACACACACACACACACACACGTAAACTATCATAATAAAAATAATATTTTATTTCCTTTTATATGGTATGCCATCAGGGAGAAATAAGAAAACCATAATATCAAATGCAGCTTGATTTTTATAGTGCTTTCAGCAAATCTGCATTTTAAGATGAGGAAAATATGGAAATTAATTGTCCAATTAGGGAAGTAGTTTAAGGAAATGTTCAATTTTATTTGTAACATCTATATACCTTGCTTAAACAATGACTGATAAGGTAGAAGCAATTTTTACTTGCTTTATCAATTTTCAACAAAAACTTAATAAAAATCCCAGAACATATTTCCCACTGAAGTATCTAGTAATGAAAATAAATTTATTCAAGTTCACTTCTTAAATTTATAAGGCAAGCTCTGTCATGATCCACCTTAAATGAAAGACAAAATGAAGATTTCAAATACGACAATAAGTCACTAATAAACTCTAAACCCATGGACAGTGTGAGCAGGAAGAGAATGGAAATGGGAACCTTGATCCTGAAATTCAGTAACTACTGAATAAAAACTTACTGCCTGAGCTTCCTCATCCTCAAATTTGAGAAGCTCCAAGGTACAATCTTCCTCCAGAGGACGGTCTAGGTCCCAAACAACTTGATTGACTTTAGCAATAACAGTGTTGTCAGCCAGGCCTTGACTTAAAAAAATATACACACATGCATATATATAAACAAAAGAATGTAAAAAAGAATCTTCTGTAGCACAACACTTAATCTGAGAATAGGAAAATAAACATTACATATATTCTGTAATAACACATGTATTATTTATAGTTTATGTATTATAGCTTTCTGAATTAAAATGGAAAAAGCAACAAACCCCTCCAAAATGTACTCAAGTATAACTAGAGGACCCTGAAAACCCAGAACATCATTATTTCACATTTAATGCATCTTATTAAAGCAGACATAACAACTGTGATAAACAGTTTTCAGTGGTTTGACTAATCTTTCAATTTTTCCAAATGGAAGTTTCCCACAAAGCCAAGCTATTTAGACTCCAAAACCAAAAAAGAGGGGCTACTGAGTAACTCCTGCTTTTCCTCTTACTTGATATCTGTGATGTTTTCTCTGTGAGGTAATGCTAACTTCAGAATAAATTCTGTAAATGCCAAAGACGGTATGACTTATGACAAGCATACTGGTAAAATAAAGGACTATTCAATAAAATTTTTATAATATGGATTTAAAAGTCAGACACACAGCACAGAGTACACAATATAAAGGATCACCAAGTGGCTAAGACCACACCATGAGACCACACCAACGGTAAGCCACAGGCATTTTGAGGACTGGAAAGCAGCAAAGGTCAGATGGCCTGGACAGGGTTTGAGGATAAAGAAATCAGGGGCTGAAGGATCAGAAGAACTAACAGAAGGCAAACCATAAATTCCTAATGCAATTTTCAAATTCACTGAATTTCCCACAGATTATATCCCATGTTTTCTTTCCTTTGGAGATCATATAAAGTTTCAAAGACATAACATGGGTCTGGCAGAGAGAAATGCATTTTACCATATTCGTGTAAAATAGTTTTCAGAGATTAAAGAATTGATGAAAGGCAACTAATATCCTCTGTATTCTTTGGGAAAAAAATGGTTTTTATTTTAGGGCCCAAAATGGTGTCTTAAGATACTAACAGCAGAATTACTTTGAAAATGTAGATATGCACAGACTGCATTAGATCATTTCAGTTCTCCAAAGAAGGGACAAAATAATCTAAACTTTTAGATTTAAAAAAAAACAAAACTTCAAAGAAAAGCCTTCAAAAGTAAGCCGAGCATGCTTTTTTTTTTTTTTTTTTTGTATTCACAACTGATCATCCAAACCTTTCAACAGTCTGTTACTCATGCTAAAATTTTTCACACAACAGCAAGAATTCTGGACTTTGGAAACAATGTCATAAAGCACCCTCACTTCCCAATCAGTTACTTAACTCCAGTCCTAAGGCTCAACAACACTTTATGTAAATTTTTGTAGTTCTCAAAAAAATATTTCCTAATTGGTTATTTGAAAAATTACAATGTAATCTGGAGGACAATACTGTAGAATGTAGAGAAAAAGTTCCTGGACTAATGGGAGCTTGAATTTTAATACCAACACAGATGGGTATTTAGAAGTCTACCCAGTTATTTATGATCTCACATGGAAATCTGCTTGATATCAAAATTATCTTTCTTACTTCCTTTGGAATAAGCTAGAAGTGCTTTAGGTAGAAGCAATGGTCAAATTAATGGAAACACTCCATTTTCTTTGTAAAAAATGCTAATCAGTGTCCATGGCACAATAAAGACTCATGGCTCATAGGTCAACTGCTTCTGCGCTCACCAGCTGCATAGTGGGCTTACCAGTGACAAGCTAGGTTGGTTCCCAAACCTCTTTATGTATTTGTTCTTTGGGGCCTTAGTATCAACAATAGGAAATTGATGACAATCAACCATTTTTGACAATTATATGGTGATTGCATGTGGCTCAACTCAACATACAATGAAACAGTAAAAATAACTAGAAATAGGGGCGCCTGGCTGGCTCAGTCGGTTAAGCGTCCAACTTCCGCTCAGTCATGATGTCACAGTTTGTGAGTTCAACCCCTGTGTCAGGCTCTGTGCTGACAGTTCAGAGCCTGGAGCCTGCTTCAGATCCTATGTCTCCCTCTCTCTCTGCCCCTCCCCAACTCGCTCTCTGTTTCTTGTCTCTCAAAAATAAAATAAAAAGATATTAAAAAGAATAACTAGAAATATTACATACTTATATATAGGGTGAAAGAATGAATAAGCATGTATTTACATGTTTTAAGTTAAAATGTTTAAGACAGAAATTGACAAACTTTTTCGTAAAGGGCTATATAAATATTTCAGAATGGGCCACACATGGCCTCTGTCACATATTCTTCTTAGTTTTCTTATTTTTTTTTCCAATTCATTTTAAGAACGCTTCTTAGCTCATGGGCTGTACAAAGCAGGTTTGTACTACACCTGGTATTATATATATGCATCAATTTATGCTTTTCTGTCTTTATCATTTCCTATAAACTGACCAACTATATATCCCCCACATATCAGAAAAAGAAAGCTTGACTCTACTACAAAGTTTATACACCTAATTTTCAGTTATTTCTTCCCAAGCAAATAAAGGTTTTTAAGATCAAACATAGTCCGTACATTATTTTCATGTGTTTATTAGTTTAAGTTTTTTTAATGTCAGTTTAGGTTTTCAGTGTGAGATGTTCTATCTTCATTTTTAACTTCAAAACAGACATTTAAGTCAAAATAGGTAAAACACTGTCTACTCTCAGAAATTAACTTTAAATCTTGAATATAAAACTCCCCATCATTTTGATTTTTAAAAATCCCAAACAATATAAATTAAACATTAAAACACAAACAATAACATAAAAATATTACGAGGATAAAACTTGACAAAATAATTTTAAAATGTTTAGTTACAAACAACAGAAGGAGAAGACAGGTGTAGCTTATACCTAATTCCACAAGCAATCTGATATGGTGTAGTTTTCCAGGATTCTGCATTGACCTGTTTACCATCAGGAAGAGTGACTTTAATTGGCTTGCTATCTTTTTCTGCCTTTTCCGCCAGAATGGAATCATGTTCTGCTTTTAGTTTATTATACATCTCAAGACGTGTGTTAATATATTCAGGCCAAGGATTCAACTGTTAAGACAAGTGAGGAAATAAATGATCAGTAAATACTTGCTTTCCTTTTTAGAAAAAGGGAAGAAATATTAAAGATAATATAAAAATTAGGATTACTAATTCAATATGGTAAAAGGATTTCACAAAGCACTGATTTAACCTTGTCTGAAATTAAGGTAAAAAAAGGAATTAAATACTGTCTTCTTATAATTTTTATTGTGTGAATGTTTTTAAAAATAGAAAAGTATAAATAAAAATAGACATGTGGGCCGTCAATATCTTAAATGGACAATTATTACCATTTGCTATTTGCACAAAGTGATTTTTTTTCTTTTTAAGATACTCTCTTAAGGTCTTTTCTGACTAAATGATCTTACAAGTATAGCTGTAAACAATACTAGAAATAAAAAGTAGCTGGCTTTTCCATTTTGTTTCCATCTTGTTTAGGGATGGTCTGTGCAGCTGGTCAGGCTGTATGTCCACTTACAATTCTTAACTAACCAACTACAAATTTATTTGATGTAAGGGCTCCCATTCAAGGAAAGTACTTGCTGGATTCAAAGGGAAGAATAAAATCTGCATTCTGCCCTCAGTAGGGAATAAGACAAGTACATAACGATGGGAGTACAGAAGAGGAGGAAAGGTCTTGGACATCTCACTGTGAACTTTTTTCCAGACTGATACTGAAGATATATATACTCACATTTTGTACTTAAAATACTCTGTTCAGAAGGGTCCTCTAATTGTACCTTTTGTTTCCCACCTGCAGACTAATATCTAAGCTGTGATGGAATACCATGTACTACTATATTCAGAGTATGAAAAACAAATGAGGAAACATATGCATTTTTCTACTTCCTTGCAAATTTTTAAAATTCACAATCAACAATTTCCCCCACAACTGCCGTGGAATACAATGGACAAAATGTAAGAGAAATGGTTAGGTAGGGCTCTAAGCAACACTGAGCAGTTCTCGATCACCTACAAACTGGCCCTTAAATAAATGAAAGCACTATAAATTTAGCAACACAGCATTAATAAAGGCAGCTCTTTAAAGCCAGTTTACTGTGCTACAGTATCCTTCTAAAAGTCTGTTCCTTTGTGCTTCTGTATTCTGGTAGCTTTCTAAGGAGTCTCTAATAAAATGATTGCAATGACTAAAGCAAAAAATGAAGCAGAGTTTACAACAGTTCAACTCATAAAGTAGGAAGACAAGCTTAATAGCCTCCTAAAGTAGAATACTCAGAAACCAAGTTGATTCTAGGCTGACTTTTTAAATGTCACCTCCTTTTAGTGTGAGCTGGGGGAACTGTGAGCATTTTCTTTACAGTGGAGAGGCCTCAAGGAGATCTGTCTGGCTTAAAACCAAACCCTAGTGACAAGCCTTCATGGAAATAACGTGAAGGGTCAAGGAATTGGGGCTTCTTTGTCTTCTGTTGCATTTAGTGTAAACTCAAACATTAAATCCTGTAACATCTCATTGAATGAAATGATCAGACTTTTGGCATCCAATCTAGCAACTGATTAATTACTAGGCCCCTTCTTTCCAATTTTTTTCCTATGATTTTCATATCTAACCCCACGGCATATCTTGTAATCGTACTTCAACGCTGTTTTCCTTTTTCAATTACAAATAGCTTCAAATCCTTTTTCCCCCTCAGACTTTCCTTTCCTATTTTTCTTCCTGAATGTTCTGCCTTGTGCCATCTCACAGTCCCATGTAAACGATTAGTATCTTACACAGAATAAGTCTGAGACAGCTCCTACCACCTTTCAATCTTTGATAACAGAGCTCTAAAACATTTACCTCTGCTCGACCTCCATCTCCAGATCCTTCTTTGTTCTTCTTCTTGCCTCCTTCCTTTCGCTTCTCCTCCCCAGCACCTATCTATACAAGCAAATAAAAACTAAGATTTTATATTTTAATCTAGTTTGACACTCCTCCATGTTGCACCCAGAAAAGTTTTAAGGATATTACTTTAAGCAGGTATTTTAAAAAAAGACCAGGAAATCTGATTTTGAAAGACTAAAAATATTTCACCACTCTGAAAGACAAAATAACAACTGACAATAAAGACAAATCTTTAAAAAAATTTTTTTTAATGTTTATTTATTCTTGAGAGAGAGAGAGAGATAAAGAAAGACAGAGTGTGAGCAGGGGAAGGGCAGAGAGAGAGGGAGGAGAGAGGGAGGAGAGAGGGAGACACAGAATCCAAAGCAAGCCCCAGGCTCCAAGCTGTCAGCACAGACCCAATGTGGGGCTTGAACTCACGAAGTGCTAGATCCTGACCTGAGCCAAAGTCAGACATTACTGAGCCGCCCAGGCGCTCCAGGACAAATCTTTAAAAGGAAAGAGGAGTTACTTGATCAAGTTCAAGTCCTCAAATTTCATTTATTTTGTTTTTTCTTGTGACTCTCGCTTCAGGTTTGCCTGGATATATACTCAACATATAGCCACAAAAAAGCATGCAATTTTAGTGTAAGTATGCAGTAACAGTATTTGTAAAAAACAAAAAAACAAAACAAAACTAACGCAATATATATCCATCCCACAAGTACTACTGAGACTGTGCTCATAGGATTTTAACCCCAGGAAAGAAGCAAAGATAAGACCCAAATCCTACAATGAGCAAACTTAATCTCTTTAGGGAAACTGAGGCACACACAGGTGAGAAATTTCCAGAGGAAGGAAGTATACAGCTGCAGCACTATGATTAGATGTCAAATAAATTAGGACAATAAATTAGGACAATTTACTTTAAAGGATGAAGATTTCAATAGGCTGTATTTTGAAAATGGAGGAAATACATTGTTGGAAATAGAAAGAGAGAGCGAGGAAGAAAATAAGAAAAAAATGAGGGAGAGAGAGAGAGAACGAAAAAAACAAGCTGACTAAAACAGATGGTTTCAGGGGGCCCCTGGGTGGCTCAATAGGTTAAGCATCTGCCTCTTGATTTCAGCTCAGGTCATGATCTCATGGTTCATGAGTTTGAACCCCGCATGAGATTCTCTCTGCCTTCCTTTCTCTCTGCCCCACCCTTGCTCCTGTGTGTTATCTCTCTTTCAAAATAATAAAATAAAATAAAATAACAACAACAACAACACGCTTTAGGAAATCATGTCAGTTAAGACAGACTAGGGCTCAGACAAAAGCAAGCACTAAAGGTTATGGGGTTACCATAAGGAATGTGGACTTTAATTAGAAGTACATGAAGGCAGAGAAAGTTTTAAAGTAGTAAGTCCTGTGTAAAAATAACCAAGGTAGAGTTGGTTCATACTGGTGGTTGTCAACCAGAAGCAATTTTGCTCCCTAGCAGATATCTAGCAATGTCGGCTGACATTTTTGGTTGTCACAACTGGAAGGTACAATTGGCATATAGTGGGTAGAGACCAGGGATGTTATTAAAAATCCCGTAATGCACAGGTCAGCCTTCCCAAACAAAGAATTCTTCAGTCCACAATGTCAAGAAACTCTGAACAGCATTATGGGATACTGTGAAGAGTATCTTCACAGAAATGAATTACCTCACTGTGACTGCTCACAAAGAAACACCCTAATGCAAGTTGCACTACACAAAGTTTTGCGATTTACAAAGTTTCTCCACAATCACATCTAGTTCTCAGCAACCCTGTGAGACTGCTATTATTATCGTTCCCATTCAACAGATAATAAAGATTAAATTGGAAAAAGGTAGATGCTTTTTCTAGGTTCACACATTAAGTAACAGGAAAGACACCCATGCAGGTGTTGACAGTGGTCAACTTTAAGGAGGGAAGTGATCATCAGTAGTCTTTTGAGAAGTTTGAGGGTAGAACTGGGAATATGAAGGGAGACTGTATTGTAGTTTTGTGTATGTTTGTGGTCTTTGATTTTTTCCTAACAGTTTTATTGAGATATTTTCCTACACCATACAATTTATCTACATAAAGTACACAATTCAATGGTTTTAATATATTCATTTAACTATCCCTACAATGAATTTTAAGACATTTTCATCACCCCAAAAGGAAACCCTGTATCCATTAGTGGTCACTCTGTTTTCCCTTCTCCCCAGTACTTAGTAACCACTTTTGTAGACAGAGATCTACGTTGTCTCTATATATCTACCAATTCTGGGCATTTCATACAAATGGAAGCATACAATATGTAGTTTTTTGTGACTGGTTTCTTTCACTTAGCATGATTTCAAGATCATTCACATTACATGTTAGGACTTCATTCTTTTTTTACTGCCAAATAGTATTCCATTGTTTATCCATTTAATGGTTGGAGATTTTTGGTGATTCTTTTGAATCTTATAAAATATATTACCTGTATAATTTAAAAAATAAACTAAATAAAACAGATGCCTTCTAAATTCAGGCTGTGTTAAAACTTCCCCCACTCCAGGATTCTGGATTTCATACAACTTTTAAGGTTCATTTATAGTCAAGAGACAAATAATGAACATAACTTAAGTCTATTCTAATCAATAAAATACTAACCAACAGGGTTACAACAGAAATAATGATGTACCAGTATTTCTGGTAAGAAGAGGAATAAAAATTAATTACAGGTCTGTGCAGATTTAAGATGGAGAAAGAAAGAGATACTTCTACTTTGTTGATTATGTTTTTGGTTTCGGTCACATGGATATTTCCCAAACAAATAGGAGTCATGGAAAAGAGGGAGAGAATTAACACAAAAGTTTTCCGTGTTCTGGGGCGCCTGGGTGGCTTAGTCGGTTAAGCGTCCGACTTTCGCTTAGGTCATGATCTCGCAGTTCATGGGTTCGAGCCCCGTGTCGGGCTCTGTGCTGACTGCCAGCTCAGAGCCTGGAGCCTGTTTCAGTCTGTGACTCCCTCTCTCTCTGACCCTCCCCTGCTCACGCTGTCTCTCTCTCTCTCTCTCCTAGAAATAAATAAAACATTTAAAAAAAAAAAAAAGTTTTCCGTGTTCTAAATACCTCTCTTTTTACAAATGAGAATACTGGCCCAAGGAATATAAAGCATTTTGCCCATCTGTATACAGCTAATAAAGAGTAGAGCCAGGACATTAAAACAGGTTTCTCTAGAACCCTCAGGTCCATTCCATCTTTACTACAACAATTAGGAAGATGTTGGGCAACTGTTCTCTATTTCTAATGAAAACAGAACAAAAATATGTGAGTTTATGTATCATGTATTTACATATAATCAATCTAAAACTTCAACCGAAAAGTTAGAACACAGGACTATGAAGGGAAGCTACAGAATGACTTTCTTCAGGGATATTTAGGAGTTTAAGGAAAAGTATCTACAGAGTGTAGTTTAATTAAATTTCACCCCCAGAGACTGGGGCAGCTGGGATAGGTATGTCCTGGGAGTCCTATAGTTTGATGGATTATCCATCCCTGACTCATACCCAGGCAGGTGATGGGAGGCAGGACAGCACTAGGGTTATGAGCAATGGCTACAGAATACTGGGTTTGAGCAAGGTACTTACTGTTCTTTGCCTGTTTCCTCATCTTATAATGAAGATAATAAGAGAACCCAGTTCATAGTTATTATAAGGATTGAAACAGTTGAGTTAATGCATCATATAGTACCAGACCCACAAATATTAGGTATTGTATAGTTGTTATTATTATTATGGAAGGGAGAAATAATATATTTGTTAGCTATACATAACCTCCAATTAAGAATGGCATAGCATTGTATTTATGGACATGGAAAATTTTTGACTATAGACTATTAAGCAAAAATGTAAACAAGTTACAGAACAATAAAGATATCATTTTTTAGTTGAAAAATATAGATGGTGAAAACTCTATGGATTGGCATTTATCACCTTAAATTTAATCCACATAGTTCAGAATATGCACATATGTATTTTCCCCATTCTATCCTGGAGTTAGAGGACATCTTCATTTTACTGATGAGAAAATGGTGGCTTTTACACAATTTATCCCATCAGAGAGTTAGGGCTGAGGCTGCTTTAGCTGAAGACATCACCACTTCTCACTTGGACTACTGCAATGGCCTCCTCTTTCCAACACACCTTCCATCCCAATGCCATAGTGATCTTTAAAACTACTCTAAGAGCTGTAGGCCCCCTTCAGGCTTATCCCTAGCAACAACTCTATAGATACTTCTAGGTGTGCCTTTTCACTGCCCTCCCTACCTTTACCTGGGAAGCACGGCCCTGCCAGACTTACCTGGTGAACTTAGACTCATTCCTCAAACAAGCTCTTCCCTCCTAAGCAGAGTTAGGCACTCCCTCTCTCTGTGATCCCACAGGGTTGTATCATGACTGTTGTCCCACCTCACACACCAGGCTTTGAAGCTTTCAGAGTCAGGCACTGGGTCCTTTACACCTTCCTAGCTGCATCTCCGAGCAGTGCCTGGCAGAATAAATACCTGACATTTGTTGACCATAGAAAAAGCTCTACCTGGTGGTGTGAAAGTGACCTGGGATTTGTTCCTAAGCAATGGATGACATCGAAGGCCTACAGCAGCAGGCAGGGGAAGTGTGTAACCTGTCTATGGTTTGTTAGCGGGGATCATACAGCTTCCACCACTTATTATAAACCACCCAAACTTCGGTAAATTGGGTCAGATCTCAGGGGCTCGGTTTTCATTTCCTTAAACTGAAGCTCTTTACCCCTAAAGGCTTTTAGGATTAAATAAGGGTCTGTAGTGTTCTTCCCGCCTAAGGTGAGTCAAAACATTACTCTGGGAGTCCGGAGTCCTAGATTCTAATTCTGTCTAGGCTTCTAATTAGATGTATGGCTCTAAGCTAGTCACTCACTCAGGGTCTCAGTTTCCTCATCTGCAAAAAGCGGACAGACCTAGAGATGACCTGCAAGGCTACGCCCTACTCTATAAATGGACGATCTGTCCCTAAAAAGAGGCTCTGACTCATCCAGCAGCTCCATCGTCCCCCTCGGGTCTCTCCGCCCCACACGGCCGGGGCTGCTTCCTCCTTCCCTCCTGGTCGGGCACCGTGGCCACCAAGCAGCCTCTGGGTCCCACTCAGTTCGCTCACCGCCTTCTCCTCGCCTCCCATCTTCCCTGAAGGGCTTCTGTCCTTCTCCTCCGACATCAACACACCACGAAAGTCTTGAAGACGGAACCCAAAAGCGACGGTCTGGAGAAGAGAACCGAGGCCAGCCAGAAGTGGGCTGACGCGCCGAGGACACTGCGCTTGCGCCACGTGGCCCGGAAAGGACCAGCTGATGCAATCTGAAAGCGCCCTTGCCCCGCCCACCAATCCTCTGGGAGAATGGGTGGCCAATGGACAACGGGGGAAGGCGGGTCCTCCCTTATCTAAACCAATGGAAGAACTTGTTGGGTGACAGCTCATTAGGAAACCAAGCTGCCGCGGTCTGGTAGACTGATCCGCGGCGCTAAACCCGTACTCTCTGCTGGCTCTGGATTAACCCCTCCCGGAGCCAAGAAGTCTTCAATGCACATGCGCCTTCATGCACGCAAAGTTGGCCTGTTAGTCAAGGACCTCTCAGCCACCGTAGTGATTGGGAGGGGCTTGTTCTGAGCCTCCAGGAAGTCTCCTGCGACTGGAATACAGACTCTATCACTGAGACGAATTCCGGAATAGAGTCCAGGGTTTCCTAAGTCTTCTTCTCTGCCTGACCTGGTGTGACTGCCGAGTTCTGGGGCCTTCCCAGGGCTTTCTCTTTGTAGCGGTGGATGGATCTCTCCTCATGGTAGTCCAGGCTTCCCAAGACCCGAGGCTTAATGATCCAAGGACGAGCCCGTTTCCTCGGACATTCCATAATACATGCTTCCGCCAATCTGTAATGCGTTAGAGAGCATTTCCTTGGGCGCATGAAAATACAGTGAAACCTTTACCTAAGGAAATAAGCACCCTGACTCCACGGATGGAGCATAAACCCGTGTTTGGAATGGAACGGGCCTATTTTCATTTATTTTACCAGCCTATTTAAAACAATTACTAACTTGAAATCAGAAGTGCACTGAGCTCGTTCATAGTTTATGTGCTTCATCACCTTGTTGCCTGGGTTTTACTTTCTAAAAGTCACCTCTTGACAACCCGCCACCTACAGGGTCATCCTTCCACCAAGAACAACAGCTTTCTAGCCTCAAGTTTTGTTTCTCACGTCGCGTCAGGACAGTCTTCAAATTTAAATGTGATCATGGCAACATTCTGTTCAAATACATGGTTTTCAGTCCCTGATTGCCTAACTTTCTCGCCCCTTCACTATACACTGAACTGGAATTTCAGTAAACCTTTTCCCCTTAGCTCCACTCCCACAATTTTTTTTTTTTTACGTGCGGAGATTATTCTCCCCATCCTTGTCTCTATTTGCTCCCACACATTTTTTACCTGTGGAGCCCCTACTTATTTGTCCGATCTCGAGAATCATTTTCTTAGGGGGACTATTTCTTGACCACCCTTAACTGGATGGAGCAAATTTCTCTGTTAATCTGCTGGTGGTTTCAAGTAGCTCTCAGTAGCACCTACCAGTTCAATTTCACAATTAAAAAAAAATCAAAACATTTTTATTGTCTCCTAGATTGAAAACTTCAGGAAGCACAACTTGTGTGTTTTTTGCCAGGATCTATCATACGTATTGAGACAAACCTTATTTGAAAAATTACCTCTTAATCTGTATTGTGAAAGAAAGAGGCCAAACTCCCTAAATTAACTCGATCTAGGATGTTTATAGTAAGAGTAGATAATTGGTAGTACTTGGTGAGTATTTTCCTTGAGAAGTTACAGGAGTGGGGCGCCTGGGTGGCTCAGCTGGTTGAGCATCTGACTTCGGCTCAGGTCATGATCTTAAGGTTGGTGGGTTCAAGCCCCGCATCAGACTCTGTGCTGACAGCTCAGAGCCCGGAGCCAGCTTCAGATTCTGTGTCTCCCTCTCTCTGCCCCTCCCCTGCTCATGCTCTGTCTTTCAAAAAGGAGAAAAAGTAAAAAAAAAAAAAAAAAAAAAGTTCCAGGAGTTACATAGAACTTTAACAGGCTTAAGTAGACCAATCTGACTTCTATTTAAATTAGAATGAGAATTAACAAGATTTTATTTCCAATGTAAAACAATTTAGGTACTTACTGTATATATGTGCCTGAATTGTATCCTAATTTTATTTATTTATTTATTTATTTATTTATTTTTGTATCCTAATTTTAAATAAGGATAAAGACCAGAAAGATTGTGATTGCTGAATCTGCTAAGAGGAAGAATAGTATAGGCTAACAATTGCAAATTCCTTTAGTGCTATGCAACTTGGCCTCTAGCAGCTTCTTTTAAGCCCTTATTCTCATTCAACCTCAGAACCAGTCCTGGTGAAAGGATGGCAAAAAGCAAAAAGCAGAAGGCTTTTCTGAAAGGTGGAATGTGCTACAGGAATGTAGGAGAGGCTGTAAAAATTAGCTCCCAGTGTGAGACCCTCTCAGGGAGAGAGCCCAATGACATAGTGCCCTCTGGTGTTAGGAAGAGATTTTTTTACCCATTATATGTGCATTTAGGGCTAAGCAAAGATAGTGGGAGCTTCCAACAATCCCAGATCCAGAACACAACATGCTGTTTTTCAACTTTTGTCGATTTACTAACAAGAAAACTGTTGATTGACATCCAGTGTTATAAATGATGCCTTCCATCTTGAGTACTTTTTAGGACAGTGACTCAACAGCTCTGCCTTGAGAAGTGAAACAAAATTATTTATGAACTATACTGCAAATAGTGTTACAAATAACAGAAGATTGCACATAATCAACTTTTTAAAAATATGAATTAGAGAAGATTCAAACTTATCTCTAATAATTTTTTATTCATTCATGTAAAAATATTTTTTAAAAAGGGAAGTACAGAGTGTGCAACAATGGAAGATATGGCTGGAAAGTTCTGCTTTGGTGATAGTACATCTCAGAAAAACACTCAGCTGGGACATGGCCAGGTAAGTATAAATCTGATTCCATGAAGAATGGGGAGAGGTGCTCTTTTTGTTGCAAGAAATGGTCATTTGGTGATTTTGACAAGCGGGGAATGTACTCTAAAAACTACATGAAGTAGAAAAGGAAACAGGAATCTCCTCTATGTAGCCAGGCCATGAGAGTTGCAGGGAAAACTGAACAATTGGGCCTCATGTGAGGCTGCGGGGACTGTAGTTTGGTGACTAATCAAACTCCAAGGTCCTCTATAGTAACAAGGAGTTGTGACTTTAAGCACTAGTACTCCACTATTAACATGATTCCGTTAATCTTTTCTCTTGCTCCTCCTCCTTTTACCAGCTGACCAATTTACTGTATATATCATGGTTCAAATTCCCAAGGAGGAGAATCAGAGAGGCTGTGTAATTACCAAGCCACATCATAAGTCACAGGCCAGCTTATGGATTGGTAGGTTGTTCTTTAAGGTCAGGTGCTTCCCCTAGTCTACTCAGCAGTGGCCGAGGGGCTGGTCATGTGGTATAGCCATCATGGTGCAGGAACCAGATGCTTTCCTCAGTATGGAGCATGGGCACCTTTAAAAGGGGATGCTGAGCATGACAGATGCTATGAGTAATATCTATAAGGCAAAATGTGTTTGTGATTCATTTGGCAGTATCTTCACTATAAAAAATTTTGGTGCTATTTCACTTAAAAAGAAGTTTTTGTGGGAGTTATTTGTGAGGAGAGGAGGCAGGGATGCTGAACTTCTAACAGTATGTGACAGAAATAGTTGTTTTGTGAATGCTTTTTGGAAAATGTGACACTACACTTATAAGGTGTTCATTGTTATGGTAAAAACTACCATCAATCACACTTGGGGTGATAGTGCTTTCCAAATAATTGGTTTATGTTTTAGTGTAAAATCTTTAGAGCTATCAGACATGTGGTCGCTACTGATGTGAATTTTTTCCTTTTGATTTCCTTACAATTAATCTAAAAAAATAATTAAAATTGTGAACGCCATTAGAAATGACACCAACTATCACATTCATACCATACAAAATACATCTGTATAGACAATAGCACAGAAGATAATGCTGATGCAATTTTAGAAAATGATGTTCATTCTAGACACAGGTGTAATAACTGTCAACTTGAAACTCACTCACTAATTCTTGGAACTGAATAATTAATCAGGTCATCAGACCATGACCTGAGCCAAAGTCGGATGCCTAACCGACTGAGCCACCCAGGCGCCCCTGAATTCTCTTTTCTTGTAGGTGAGTTATTCTGGTTTGTTTAGAGACCTTGCTTTCCATCCTCTGTTAGATTTGATTTCAGTAGATCTTAGTTATTAGTTATTGTTCTAATCTAATAACATCGAACACCCCCGCCCCCGCTTTCTCCTACCTTTTTGAAAAATATCTTACTGTACTACATTTTGAAGTTACCCCATTTTATATATATTTATTCTTTCCTTAAAGATATCATTTTTCTTCTCTTTCCTCTGATATAATACTTTTTAAGGGAACCTCTGTCTTCCTCCAGCATAATTAGCCTTTCTTCTTTTATTTTGCTTTCAGTTGTCCACTGCTCATTTTTAATAAGTAAAACAGGTATATTTTCCAAGCTACTGTCATTTCTCCTGGATCTCCTAAGAATACCTGCTACCTGAGACTGGGAATTCAGATACGTATCTTTTTAAAAATTTAATTACTTTCTTTACCTTTGGGTTTGCAATACTTTAATTGAATGTTTTCTCTACTTCAGTCCCCCAGAAGATCCTATTCTGTCTATAATAAAGGCCTCTGTTCTTTTTTGTTGTTGTCAATAACAACTACCAATTTTTTAAAAATCTTCTTAACTCTCAAGAACCTACTTAAAGCCATTGGCTTATCAAACCTCTGAACAAACCAGAAAAGTCACAAAAGTTAGTATCCTCAGGCTTCTGCCTTTGCCTTTAAATATAGTTCCAAAACCATGTAAGCAGGCATGGGATTTGGGGCAGTTGATCTAGCCCTGGATACCTAGATGTAGTACTAAAGCTAGAACTAGTACTAGTACTATCATACAGCACTACTCCATAGCCCATGTGTATCTTAGCTGACTTTGTATTTCATCGTTCTGAACATTGACTGAAAAACACTGTGAAAGAACAAATATCAATTTTTTTTAACAATACCTAACAGGATACCCCAGCCTAGTGTTTAGTGCAAGGAAAAACTGACACAGCCATTCTTGGAGGCCCATACAACCTGCTCATAAGGATAGGTGCCTGGCTTGCTCCAGTGAAAT